AGGAGGCCCAGGAACAAGGGAGGACCGCAACCCCCTTGCCACCAGCCTCCAGCCATCTCCTTTGCCTGAAAGCTACTGTACCGATGTTGTTGTTGTTAAGTGCTGTCGAATCAATTCCGACCCATAGTGACCCTGCACAGGGTTTCCGAGGCTGTAAATCTTTACTGCAGCAGAAAGCCTCATCCTTCTCCTGTAGAACAGCTTGTAGTTTCGAACTGCTGACCTTGCGGTTTGCAGCCTGATTCGTAACCACTATGCTATCAGAGCTCCTTATTATACCGATGTTGTTGTTGTTGTTGTTATATGCCCGTGGAGTCGGTTCCGACTCATAGAGACCCTGTACAGGGTTTCCGAGGCTGTAAATCTTTACGGGAGCAAAACGCCTCATCTTTCTCCCACGGAGCAGCTGGTGAGTTTGACTGCCAATGTGCTGTTCAAACCAACATTGCAGTCCAGCGTTATTAGCCAACAGCACATCAGGACTCCAGTGTCAGTTTTAATTGAATGAAATAATTAACTTTCTTGTTTTCTGTGGGATCCAAGGATGCAGCCACATTAGAATTTTAAGATAGCATGAAGGGTACACTGGTCTATTCTGTTCAAGATCTGGCAGAGCAGTTAAGAGGAGAAATTCAAGAATTCCATCATTATTCTTATCTATTCCAAGCTACATTAGCCTTACATTGCTTTTTGCATGACCGGGTTCTCTACCTTAAAGAAGTTTGAAAAACGAAATACACCATGTTTATGATAGACTTGAATTGTTGTTAGTGAAAAGACTGAGTCATACAAATCTTTACTTTTTTTTTAATTCTACCTTTTCATTGAGCAGATTAGGCCAATCCCTCTGCTATCCTTGCCTTCTATATTGGATCTAACTATAATACATGTATATCTTACACAAATCTGTTATAAAAAATCTCTGTAAAGTGTTAACAAATATATATGTCACTTTCGAGACTATGAACCAAGTGGTGGCATTTCCATTACCTCTTATGTATGCAAAAGCTGGACACTGCTAAGGTTGACCGATGACAAATTGATGCTTAAATTGATTAAACTGTGGTGCTGGTGAAGAATACTGAATGGACCTTAGCCTGCTAAAATAAGTGAAGTGTAAAACAAGTGTAAATCTGTACAGCCAGAATGCTTCTTAGAAGTGATGACGATGAGGTCTCATCTCATGTACTTTGGACATGTCATCAGGAAGGACCAGTCTCTGGAGAAGGAAATCTTGTTTGGTGAAGTGGAGGGTCAGTGAAAACGAAGACCCTCAATGACACAGCTGCTACAACAGTGGGCTCAAAACACAGGACTGATGACAAGGATGGTGCAGGAGAGGGCAGTATTTCCTACTATTGTACCTAAGAGTTGGGTCTCTACGTTCCAACTAACAAACGTGTCTGCATGATGTCAGAAGTAATGAAGCAGTAACAGGTCAAGCTCATGTGCATTCTTTGGCCTTTTATCAAATAGACATGATATTCTCTAACTTCATTAGATGGCCTAAATCTGTCTCTTTATTTACCTCAAGCAATTAATCTGCCATTTTTATACTGAAAATACTTTTTATAGATATTATAAATATTGCAACATCTTGGTTTTGTACTGATATATTTATATTTAAGTGTTTAAATCTTAATAATTTTATATACTAGAATTCTAGTACATATTCACTATACGGGTGAAAGATATGACCATACTACAGTGTTTTAAAATAAAAGTGAAATTTTCAGCATTTTTCCACTGCAGTTTTAAGTCTATATTATGCATAATTAAAAACACTGCAACAAGACTTGAGAGTTGTCATTACTCACTGAGTTTTCTCAACTTGTGGAACTTTGGCAACTTTCACAGGGTTTTGGTTAATGTTCTCTAAGGTCTGGTTACTCAGGGTGTTTGGTAAACCTTGTATCATCATCAACATCTGAAAGCATAATAAAAGATTTAGTCTCTTTGGCCTTTCCCCAGACCTTATTAACCAAAGTTTGAAAGGCAACATCCCTCCTCTTTTTAAGACTTTATATTTTGCTTAATAAGGAGCTCTGGTAGCGTACTGGTTACGAGACAGGCTCCTAACATCAAGGTCATCAGTTCGAAACTACCAGCTGTTCCTCTGGAGAAATATGTGTTTTCTGCTCCCGTACAGATTTACAGCCTCGGAAACCCTGTGCAGGGTCGCTGAGTTGGAACTGATTCCACAGTACACCATCACCACATTGCATAATAAATACACAATATAAAGCGGTATATTGTTGTGTGCTGTCAAATTGACTTTAACTCATAGTGATCCCATATGACAGTAAAATGCCCTCATAGGGTTTTCTACGCTGTAGTCTTTACAGGAGTGGGATCCCTAGGTCTTTCTCTCACAGAGTAGCTAGTGAATTCAAACTGCCAACTTTTGGGTTAGCAATTGAGTCATTAGGACTTGTTAGGCTATATAATCCAGAAACTGTTGCCCTTGGTTGGTTCCAACTTTTAACTACTTTATAGGACAGAGTAGAATTATCCCATAGGGTTCCCAAGGCTGTTAATCTTTACAGAAACAAGCAGCCTGCCACATTTCTCCTATAGAACAGCTTAGGTCTGAGTTCTGACTTGTTGGCTAACAGCCAAGTGTTTTAACAATCGTACCACCAGGACTCCTAAGGCACTATGATAATTAAGTGCTGTGGAGTCGGTTCTCTCAGAACCACCCTGTACAGGGTTTCCCAGGCTGTGTGGGAGCAGAAACCCTCATCTTTTGTCCATGGAGTGACCTCAACCACCAGCCTTTTAGTTAGCAGTCTAGTGTTTATCCTACAGAGCCACCATGCTCCCTTAAGGCACTATGTTGTTAAGTGCCTTCGAGTCGGGTCCAATTCATACCAACCTTATATAGGGTTCTAGGAACAGCTGGTAGGTTTGAACCACCAATTACGCATTAGCAGTCCAGTGCTTATCCTACTGTGCTATACCTAGATTCCTAAGACACATTATGTTGTTAAGTGCTGTTGAGTCAGTTCTAACTCACAGCAACTATGTACAGGGCTTCCAAGGAGCGGCTGGTGAGTTTGAACCACAGACCTTGTGGTCTAGTGCTTTATCCCACTGTGCTACACTAGGACTTAAAGGAAATAAAGTAGCATCTTGAAGAAGGAAAATCCTTCCTCTTTTTGGGAGATGGAGTCCACGAGGGATTAAAAAAAAAAAGATATAATTATGTATCTTTCTGAATTTGCCATCTGAATATCACAAAATCATTAAATTCATAATACCAGACATTGATTTTACAATTAAAGCTATCAGAGCTTAGAATTTGATTTTTAGTAATATAAGTAATTTGGTATGTTTCAAGTTTAAAGTCTTAAAAATTTGCCTCAGTAAATAATTTGAAATTAATACTCTAGAAGAACCCTTAAAAAAAAAGAAAATTTAGCATAAGAATATTATATATTCTTGGTTTCTGTAAAACACACTTGAGAAACACTAAGCACAGATACTTACAGTGCTATTCAAAGTGACTTTATAGTAAAAATTCACTAGTTACAGTTGGGGGAAGATTATATATTTCAAAAGAAATAGAGTATTTAGATCTTACTACTTACTGTCAAGAAGTCAAACAACATATTACATTAGGCAAATCTGCTGCACAAGATCTCTTTAAAGTGTTCAAAAGCTAACATGCCAGTTTGAGGACTAAGATGAGTGAGGCTGACTCAAGCCAAAGTATTTTTAGTAGCCTCATATGCATGTAAAAGTTGGACAATGAATAAGTAAACCCAATGTTAAAAGTACCATGGACTGCCAGAAAAACAAACAAATCTGTGTTCGAAGTGCAACAAACTCATCAAAATAATAAACAGGTGTACCCGCTACGCTGTTTAGCATACAAACAGCCTAATGGTTACATCTGTAATTTACTGGTATCCAAACCACTCAGTATTTATTTCAACCTAGGCTCTCTAAGCTCGCATTATTTACAAGCAACTCCCAGAACACCAGTTATCATTTTATGGATTAGTGGTCACACTCAAGGCAAACAATACTCCTCCAGGGAACAGATTCAAGTCAGTCATGTAGCAGTGTAGGCCTCTTCTGTTATGCCCACTATCCAGTACAATCGCTTGCCAAATTCTATGTAGAAAATAAAATTTAAGTGAAGTAGAATATTCAAAAGGTAATCTATATGATGGACATAAATTGGATGATTTCAGTCAAAATTTATCCCTTGCTCCACAGTAAAGTACATACAGATATGTTCCATACATGCAATGATTTATTTTCCTTGGTCAATGAAGAATAAAATTCATGCTTCCTGAAATACCATTATCTCTCCATCCATGAGAACTTCCTTTTTATTTGCTCTTGTAGTCTTTGCTTTGAATATAAAATTCACAAGTTTGTAGCCTTTTCCAATGATTACATTTCAGCTTGTACTTGTTTAGAAACCATTTGCGAAGACTTTCTATTTTGTAAGTTAGCTATTCTAAATTAATTGTTGGTCAAGTTAGTAGTAGTAGTCCTGGGTAATTTTCGTGGACACAACAATTTCAATCACAATAAGATGCTTACTAGCTCTAATCAGGAGCTTAGATTCACTGATCTTCTCTCTATATTTCAGAATCACAAGCTACTCTATTGCCCATGGTCTCAGAAAATAGAGCACAGGGAATTTCTAGGCAAAAAAGAAATATACTACTAGATTGGTCCAGAAAAAAATAACAGGTTAACTAACATATTTTAACAGCTAGGTTTTCATTAAAATTGCATAAATATCTATAATAATTCTTTGACGTTTTCTTATTAGAGTGGAACATAACTTTTAGAAAAACTAGTGATTCAACTGGAGGTGGCATGAACTAACAGATACAATATGGAAGTCTTTTCAAAAAGTTTAACAATTCAATGAAATGTATACATGATGCCTGCCCTATGTTTGATCAGTTTTAAGGCAATTTTTTTAAACTGTGAAGGAATACGGTTAAACACAGGAAATAAAACACAATTTGAGTTCATCATATATTCTTCATCTTGGCCATGAGGTCTTCCAAGCTTTCCCCAGAATCTTCTACTGTTGTTTCAGGTACAGAATCTTGCTATCAATAGATGAGAGAAATACCAATTACTACATAAAGTTCTAAATGCTTAGAAATGTAATATTAGTAAGTTTTAACCATGTTCCAACAAATTTATAAACACATTTATGAAGCACATTTTCTTAATACCTTATTTTTAAGCAAAATAAAGCTCTTATATACAAGACAGTGATTTTTAGCAATTGAGAGCTCAACTAAAGTCTCTTTAAATGATGTTGTGGTTAAAACGACCAATACACAAAACTATCTTCATTTAATCAAAACCTACTATATTACACTTATTCCATTAATGAGTGAACAATTTTACGTCTGTTTTCAAATCATTTTAAATGTGCTATGTATATCTCCGTATTAACACTGAAGGCCTCCCTCTTTCTCTTATCTTAATGTTTACAGTGTAAAATATCTAAAACAGGAAATGTCGCACTGGTATTAAAAATAGGATGAAGATTTAAAAAAATTTTTTCTCTTATATTTTCTTACAGATAAAATCAGATTACCTGTTTGGGAACTGTATATGCCACTGTAATTCCTTCAGGTAACTCAGGAACTGGACCTGAAGAATTTTTCAGTTCCTCTTCTGAAACCTCAGATACCAACTCAATACCTACAGAATTAAATTAGAGCCTATAATTGTTTTAAAGGAACTTAATTTAACAATAATTACTCAAAACCTATACACTATTATGATTATATTCACTGCCATAAAATATCTTGTTTTATGGTGCCATTTTAATTCCTAAAAACAATTCCTACCCCATTCGTTATCTTCATGTGTTATCTCCGCCTCTTCATGAACAACTTCCTGTTTGGGCAGTGTGGCTATCTTTTTCTGTGGAAAACAAACAGTATCAAAATGATGTTACTCCCTTTTCAGTTTCTGAAGCATTAACCAACATTTCAAATAGGCTTTTAATCTTATAAAAATCAAGAAAGGGCTTTGAACATATATTTATTTTCATTTTTGAAGTACAGTGAATAAATTTAATACTTAAAAATCTAAAATCCATTTATAGTCAAAATCTAAATCAGTTTTAAATTTATTGTCCTATGCAACACGATGCCTCATACATTGTGATAGATCGACATATACCTTGTATTCTTCCTGCTGCTTCCTGCAATTTCTGTCATCACACTGAGGATTTGGCTTCATGGACATAGTAGGGAAAAAATCCTGCATTGCATTGTATCCAAGGTAAAAACTCACAGTACCAAAATTTAACAGAAACCTAGAAAGACAAACCAACAAAGACAGGAAATCATAAAAGTACGAAACTACCTGAATTCCTAGATGGTTTCCGATAATGATTTCTATCTTGCTTACAGACGTGGCTCATATAGTAGGCACTTCAATACTTATTATATTATTGAAGGAAATAAAAATATTATTTCATCAAATATAGGACACACCATAAGTTTCTGAACCACTAAAAGGTAAGAATTTCTGGTAGAGCACAATTAGGCAAGTACTGGGCCATGAAACCCTAAAAAGGGTCATGATGAGTTGGAACTGATTCGCCGGTACTAACAAGAAGAAGAAACATAAAAACGCCACCAGTTAAATGATAACACTTGTCAACAACTATAAGAGACATCCTAAAGTTAGAGAGGTTAAAATGGAGGCAAAGTGTGTCTTAAGAATCCCAGAAATATGATACAAAATGTTTTGTTTTGTTTTTTTTAATGTCTGTGTGTGTGTGTGTGTGTGTGTGTGTAACTTACAAGAGCGTGCACAATTTTAAATGTGCAGCTCAATAAACTTTAGCCAAGTTTTCACCATGTAACTACCACCAGTTCAAGATAGGGGACTTCCCCAGGACTCTATAAAGGCTACCTGTGCCTCCTCCCAGTCCAATCTGACTCCTAAAAGCTTCTGTATAGACCAAAAGTCACATACAAAGATAAATGACAAAAAGGTGTGCATATACATGTTAATACATAGGACTCCTGGTGTGGCACTGCGGGTTAATGCGCTAGACTTCTAACTTGGTTTGAACCACAAGGTTGGTGGTTCAAGCTCACCAACTGCTCCTCGGAAACCCTAAACAGGTTCACTATGGGTCAGAACCTACTCAATGGCACTTAACAGTAACACACAATAAAGACTTATTAATCACTTTAAAGAAAGGCAAAAACTTGAGCAAAAGACCTGAGCAGACAATTCACAGAAAAATGTGCTCAACCTTCTCACAATAAATGAGATACACATTTTCCACCTATTAGATTACAAAGATTAAAGAGTTTGTTAATACCCATTGTTATCAAAGGTGTGGCGGAAACAAGTACTCCTAGACTGGTGGAAATGTATAGCCCGTCTACAGGAGAAATTTGATAATATCTATCAAAATGAGTAAAGCATAAACTTAGAAACTTCACTTAAAAAAATTCAGACTGTACAAAAATATGCAAAATGTTGTCTGGAGCTTTGTTGATAATAGCAAAGGGGCCATCAATAGAGGGCTGGTTAAATAATGACACATTCTTAATAAAATATTCTGGAGCCATAATATCTCTTCTTTCTTAGCATCATATTATAAAATTTTCATTTAGTTGGGGTCTAGTAGACTATTTGCTCATATACAAGTATAAAATAGTCCTAGATGACCAGGAGGTCCCCGGAAAAAAGATGTCTGCTCCCATAGTAAAGATGAACAGTCTTGCAAACCTAAGGAGCACTTCAACTATGACATATAGAATTACATTGAGTCGGAATGGACTCGATGGCAGTAGGTTTTGGAGTTTGACTACAATTCCAGAAAGATACTGCCTTTCAGCTTTTTTTCTCTTTCAAGTTTGCTTTTCTCTGTATTGGAAGTTTCCCTTTCCTTGAGTCCCTGAAGACCTGTCAGACACTCATTGAATCCTGAGATTTAAGGTGACACTATGTCCCCTCATCTGCATGATTTCCTTTCTACATCCTCAAGACCTTACTTTCTCTTTGGATTCCACCCATTTGTGACAATAAATATGTGTCAATAAAAAAACTTATGGGCAACCAAAAAAAAAAAGTCCTAGATGACTGCCTTAGCAGTTCCTATGTTATGTGCTTTCAGAATTTCTCTGCTGACAACTGACACTACTCATTAATATCAAGGTGCTTCCTTATAACATGTTCTAGTTTGTTCATGTAATATTGGAAACCAGGGAAGTGGATAACTAAGCTCACTTAGGTTGTGAAGTGAGCAAACAAATGGGCTGAGTTAGGGAACTCCTAAAGGGGCTGTGCTTTTAATAAGGTGATTTGTCAGTAGGTTCATAAACTCTTTGACGGTAATTTTAGCTGCATAGAAACTTTTCTCCTTTTTCGTTGTAATTTAAAACTCAAATCAAGCCCACTGTCACTGAGTCATTTCCAACTCACAGTGATCCTACACAGGGCTTCCGAGACAGTATATCTTTACAGGAGCAGACAGCCTCTTCTTTCATGGAGCCACTGGTGGGTTTGAACTGCCATCCTGTGGCTAGCAGCTCAACACCCAACCCAGAGCCTCACAGGGCTCCTTAGTTCTAGTTTAGATTGTTGGCACTGCTGCATATCTGATTTTGGACAGCAGATTACTTTTCTGATTCACGGTGACCCAATGTGTGCAGAGTAGAAGTGGTTTCCACTGGGTTCTCAAGGCTGTGACCCTTTGGAAACAGAATGCCAGACCTGTCTTACAAGATGCCTTATCATGAGTCAAAATAAACTCAACAGCAATGAACAAGATTACTGTTAACAAGAATTAAATCAAGGCAATGGAAGCAAGTGCTTTTATACCTAAAGCTCCACTATTTTGGTCAAACCTGTAGAGATTCATATCATTTGGTTTAATGTTTCATAAACAAATACACCAATATGACTGCACCATTCTGACTCACAGTGACCCTATGTAAGGGAGTGTAGAACTGCTCCAGAAGGTTCCTAAGACTGCAAATCTTTACAGAAGCAGACTGCCACATCTTTCAATAGGTGCTGGGTTTGAACAACTGATGTTTCAGTCCACAGCTGAGTACTTAAGCACTGCACCAAAAGAGCTCCTTACAGGGTCGTGATGAGTCAGAATCAATTTGGCAGCAGTAAGTTTATTGTACCTTTGAGCAAGAACTATCAAAATGCTTAGAGCAACTGATCATTGATATGTGTGTATATAAATTATATATATGTATATACTAGAGCATGGTGGCTCCATATGTTAAGTATTGGACTGTGAACCATGAGGTTTGAGGTTCGAGCCCAGCAGCTGCACTGTGGGAGAATGATGAGGCTTTCTAATCCTGTAGATTCACAGCCTTAGAAACCTTATACAACCCTAAGAGTTGGAGTCGACTGGATGATAGTGGGTTTGGCTTTGGGTGGGCATTTTAATATACAAGGGGCTTCCAAAAGTTAATTCCATTTTCCCCTGAAATTTTTAAACCTCCCTCATATATGTTAATTACATATATATACACAGACATATATAATATAATGTCGTCCCACAGCATCTGCAGATGCTCAGGTCACTTACTACGTAGTATTTTTATATGCACATCCTCCTGTATATTCTAAATCATCTCTTGTTAACTGCCGTTGAGTGGATTCCAACTCATAGCGACCCTATATAGGGTTTCTGAGGAGCATCTGGTAAGTTTGAACCGCCAACTTTGTGGCTAATAGTACCGTGCTTACCCTACAGCTCTACACCAAATTACTTACACTAAATACAATGTAAATGCTGTGTACATGGCACTTTATGCTCCCTCTTAGCCTTTGAAGATTGCTCTGAGCACTTAATTGCTCCCCATCATAAAATATTTTCAATAAAGTATTCATGGATCTGGAGGGTTTACTACACATATAAAATAAAAAATAGTATATCAAACTAAATTAAATACTGAGCTGGTAGTTTCAGGGTTTGAAGTTATTTGTGAAATTAATGAATCAATATAAGAAAACTACTTAAAACTTAGCCCTCACTTACTTTAACACGTTTTGTACCAAGATGCCTGCAACCACTCCCATAGTAGTAGGAAGACTAGCTGCACAAACACCTTCCCGTTTCAGAGTCTTTTCATCGATATTTGCAGCAACTACAAGTGGTGGAGCACACTACATGAAAAAAGAGTGAAAGAAAAAGCATTTCAAAAGACAGAGGTAACATAGTATGAGATGTTCCAAATAATAGCCCATCACATTCAAAGTATGCTTTTGCTTTGAATTACTATGTTTTGAATACCTCTAACACCTTTAATGGAGTCCTGGTACGGTGATGTGGGTTAACGTGCTGGACTGAATGTCGGTTTGAACTGCAAGGTCAGTGGTTCAAGCTCACCAGCCACTCCTCAGAAACCCTATACAGGGTCGCTATGAGTTAGGACCAACTTGACGGCATTGAACAATGAACAACACAAGAACTTTAATGCGGAGTCTTGGGGGGCAGGGAGGGTGTGTGGCAATGGCTAAGCACTCAACTGCTAACCAAAAGGTTGGCAGCTCAAACCCACCAGCTGCTCCACTGGAAAAAGATGTGACCGTATAGCTTCCATAAAGATTACGGGGCAGTTCTCTGGCCTACAGAGTCACTATGGGTCAGAATCAACTTGATGGCAACAAGCTAAGAGGTCTAGTACCTAACAGTGAAAAACAATCCAAAATGAATCACGCATACCGCAAAACATGCAGATTCTCCAGGAATTATGAGTTGTATGTGCCCTGAAACTGCATTTTCACTGACGCCAGACTCCATCCAAGTTTGTCCAAGTTCATTACAAGCCTTAATAGAAATAGATGAAAACATAAGGGAGAACATAAAAGTGTAAGAAGCAGTTTACCACAAATTCTTTAAATGAAAAATTATGGTTTAACCAAATGCATTAATAAATTTTTTAAAATATTAATTTTTCTGAATGAAAGAGGAAAGTTAAAAATAACTTTGGTAATTAAAGAATACACTGACAGCACTCAAGTCAATAAATATCCAGTTAATTAAAAACAACCATAATTTATTGAATTTTTGTGACAATAATATAAAACCTCATTCTTCTACAGAAATTTCAGCATAAAAACACCAAAAAGCCAAAATGTCATTGGATAAGTTAAAAATAGAGTAATTCCCAAGGAAAAAAATATCCAATTTAATGTTTGAGAAACTCAATTTATACATAAAAATAAAGTAACAACAGTTAAAACCAATGCTGACCAAGAAGACAGTTCTACATACAAAGTATTAATTTGCTTTATTTTAAACACTAAATATCAGAAGTATTTTTCTATTTTATAAGTTTTTTTCAAGGAGTCCCTGAGTGGGGCAAACAATTAACACATGACTGACTGCTCACCAAAAGGCTGGCAGTTTGAGCCCCCTCACAAGTACCTCTGAAGAAAAGCCTGGTGGTCATCTACTTCCAAAACCCAGCCACTGAAAGCCTATGGTACACAGTTCTATTCTGAGCAGGTGGGGGTCACACCATGAGTCAGAATAATCTAAGTGGAACAGTGACTGATTTGATCAGCCTAAGCAATGAAGACACAACACATGCCATATACCATCAAGCCTGATTTCACAGGTAGGTATTAAAAATAAAACATTATAAAAAGGATTAAATTCAAGATTGCATTTAGGATGGAGAATACATATTGACAGAATGTACAGGAAAATAGATAAATCATGAGTATAACATCTGACATGACAGGAATACTCACTGTATTTATTGTCATTCGAGCTTCGAAATTGTCCACACAGCTAAGAACGAGGTCAACAGGCTTTCCCTCTTCTAATCCACCATTACTAGGCAAAGAAAAGAAATTTTATTAAAAAAAAAAAAAAAATCAAGACAAAACACATTCTAGTTAGACTTTATTCAATCACATTTGTTTGAGTATAATTATAATATGCTGTTATTGTTGTGGGCCACTGAATCAGTTCCAACTCAAAGCAGAGTTTCTGAGAGCAGCTGGTGGGTTTCAATTGCCCACCTTGCAGTTTGCAGTTCATTGCTCATACTACAGTGCCGCAGCAGGGCTGTAAGGGTATGTTGTGGATGTCATGTGCTGTCGAGTCAGTCCCTACTCATAGCAACCCTACACAGGGTTTCCAAGGAGTAGATGGTGGGTTTGAATCTCCAACCCTGCGGTTAGCAGGACAATGCTCATCCTACAGTGCCACATCAGGACTCCAGGATATAATATGTCATTGTTGTTAAGTGCTGTTGAATTGGCTCCGACTCATAATGACCCCATATAGGAGTTCAGAAAAGCAGCTGGTGGGTTTGAACTGCCAACCGTGCAGTTACCAGTCCAGTACTTATCCTACAGCTCCAGACCAGGACTCCAGGAAATAATGTAATATAGTTCATATTGTATATTAACAGAGATTCACTATCTCTAGTATTAATGATTAAGTAACGTAACATAAATGTTACTGTAGTAGTACTTCTTGTATAAGAAGAACAAGTGGGAAAGAAAATGAAAATCTGTTCACAAAATTTACCAATTCCCTATCACCTTTGACAGACTTCTGATCACACATCACTACAAATATGAATGTAAATAAAAGCTTATTGATTCCTTCAAAACATCAATGCAAAATTACCAAATTACCCAGCAATTCCATTCTTAGCTATATACCCAAAAGAACTGAAAGCAGAAACATAAATATTCGCATATCAGTGTTCATTACAGCATTATTCAAAACAGCCAAAGAAATGGAAACAACTTGAATATTCACTGACAGATGAACAGGATGAACAAAATGAAGACTATACCAAAGAGGCTTCAAGAAGTTGGTGGAAAATGGAATGAAAAGACAATGGAATTTTTCATGAGCTTTTTGAAGTACACTTGTACATATTAATAGAATACTACTCAGTCATAAAGAGAAATGAAATTTTGATACATTTGATAGATTAGTATCTTACCTTATTCTATCCATGAAATGTTGGAAGTTTTCCACTGTGGTGATATTGTAGTTGTGTACTTCGAAAAGAACATCAGGATTAATGTTCCTAAGAGGGAAAAGAGGAATGACTAAAAAAATTTCTAATAAAAATTGGATAGTTAGAGCAGGAAGTTAAAGGAGAAATAGTTAAGAGAGAAAGCAGAAAGAAAAAAAGGAGTTGAATAAGCCAAAGAGCAGTTAATAGGCTAAAGAGAGGAATTCAAGATATTCAATGAAAATCAAAAGTTGACTTCTATTTTTGTCTCACTTCAATGACAAGGTGCAAAGGCAGGTAGTATGTAGATTGACATACAGATTACAAAAACATCCCCATCCTTATCTGGGTTTATTTATATGCTGGGAGGATTCCTGGTATGGTACTGTAAGATCAGCACGGGACTGTGAACCACAAAGTCGGCAGTTCAAACCCACCAACTACTCCTCGGAAACCCTGTACAGGGTGGCTATGAATTGGAACTGACTTGATGGCACTAACAACACATGCTGGGAAGTAAGCCTTTACCACGTCTGGTAGCTACAGCTCAGTCTGACAGAAGAACTTCTTTGTTCTTCATTCAATTCAGTGCAAGAATGTTTGGGGAAACAAAGTTCCCGGCAAAATGTTGGTTCATGTGCCAAATCTGATCTGCTATCTGTTTTTGTACACAGCCTAAAAGCTAAGAATGGTGTTAATGCTTTCAAATGGTTAAAAAAAAAAAAAAAGAAATCCAAACAAATAGTAATATTTCATGGTATGTGAAAATATAAAATTCACATTTCAGAGACCATAAATAGAGTGCTATTGGAACACTCCTTCATTTATGTCTCGTCTACAGCTGCTTTCACACTGCAACAGCATAACTGAGTAAGTGGCACACGCTACCTGCCATTGCACCTTGTCAATGAAATGAGACAAAAATAGAAGAAGACAAATTTGCATTTTCATTGAATAGCTTGCATTCCTCTCTTTAACTTATTAACTAGTTTTTGGCTTGTTCAACTCCTTTTTTTCTTGCTGCTTTCTCTTTAAGTATTCCCCTTTAACTTTCACACAGCAATGGCATGATTGAATAAGTGATATAAAGGCCATATGGCCCACACATCCTAAAGTACTTACTATCTAGCCCTATACAGGTTAGAATGTACTAAACCACTTTGAAGAGGTAGAGAATTTTTGGCACAATCAAAGCTTAAATTTCTATAGCAAGAAATTGAAGTCTAATTACATATTCCTATTATTATTAGGTACTGTTGAAGAGGTTCCAACTCAAAGCAACCTTGCTTATGTACAACTTAATAAAACACTGCCCAGTCCTATGCCATCCTCACTTACATTATTAGGTTAACTGATGTCCAAATGGGTCCTGTTTGACACTGAGGGATAAGTACTGGACTGCTAACAAGGCAGACATTTCAAACCTACCAGTTGTTACTCAAAAACTCCATACAGGGCCACTATGAGTTGGAATCAACTCCACAGTACTTAACAACATGTCCAAATATAGGCAAAGTTCAATTTCATGTAATATGATCCTTTAATTGCTATTCCACTTACCTCAAAGTATGTTCTGCGGCTTGAACTTTACTTAGCCCTGCTTGATGTGGTTGGAAGAAAAGTCTATTCATATTGGCCAGTTCCACCTTGTCATAGTCAAAAAGTAGCAACTAAAATGAAAAGAATGGTATTCTGATGAAAAACCTACCATAAAAATAATTGTAATCGTTGCCATGAAAACAGTGAGTGTAAAACTGATGTTCTCCCATGTAAACTATCACTCAAGTCACAATAAAAACTTAAAAAAAAATAAAACACAATATTTTGAGAAGTGGGGTGGTCTATGGGTCTCATCTAAAAGGTTCATGGCACAACAAAGGTTAAGAAGTTGTGACCTAATCTTCACCCAATTCATAACAAAAAGTTTAAAAAAAGAGAAAGAAATTAAATTAAGTTTTAAAAAGAAAAAAAAGAACCTAACTAAAAATAACAAATAAACTACCTTAACATTTGATGGGTTTAACAATTTCACAATTAAAATATCAGCTAATGCTAAAATAGTAGGCATCATGTGTTAACTCATTTAATACAGTAACACAGAAGTAAGTACACAGGTACCATTATTAATTCCAATTTTAGTAATAAAAGGTCTACTAAGCAACTTGCCTAAAGACCACTCAGCAAATATATACTGGAAATGGAATCCAAATTCAGGCATTCTCAGTCCCAATGACTGCACCCAAAATCAGAATGCTGTGCTGCTCTAAAAAAATTCATTGGGAGATTAGTGTTCATTAAATGTCATTCCAATTTTTTAACAATTGTGCCCAAATCCTACTTCATGCCAAGCTTTAAATTTTATGCTAAAAGCCAAGACCCCAATAGAAAACTGGAATCTTTAAGTAACGTAAAGACAAATACTGTAACTGGAAATTGTAGTATAACCTGACTCCTTTTGTCTGACACCATATATACTCATTGCCCTGGCTAAATACATCAGTTTTAAATATAATTATTAACCAATAAGTTATCCTTTCCTACTGTATGTATACTCAGGACTAATTCAAATAGCGGTTTTCTTTCTGTGTCTCTCTCATTCACACACACACAAACACAATGATCAACAGATTCAACTTCTTATCAATTCTTATAAGCATCGTATCAATAAGACTAGACCCAATGATCTCCAAAGTGCTTTCCTGATCTAAACTTCTCTGAGTCTGTAATCGAGTCTCACAGCACTTTAAATTTAGTAATTAAAAACAAACATGGGATTTTCATTTTAAAACAAAAATTATAAAGAAAAAAATTAGGTAATTTTTTCCTAGATAATGTAAATAAATGCTTAATAGCTAACATTTGCTAGGAAAGACATCACTTATGTCTGCATTTGTACAGAAACCCCTTCACACACCACCAGCTACTGGGTGCATACACAGCACATCTACCACATTCATTTGGCTACTTATTGCTCAGTAGATAACAGAGATGTCCTGCCCTGATCTCCAGAGAATGTACTAGCTGCAAGCATCTACCCAGAAGGACCCCAGAGTCCCACAAGGGCTGTGGAGGGACCCTGACCACCCCAGTGCTAGCCACCCAATATCAGAAAAAGAACCTGCTCCCACACCTCCACTCAATCCAGGAAGAGATGACATAAGAGTCTAACCACAGAGGAATCATGTGTGTGTGACCAGAAGACACCGAAGTGAGAGGAAATCATGCCTACAGACATCACCAGTCACATGTAGACCAGAACCACAAAACAGCAGCTAAAATGATACAAAGGAACAGTGACATTCTGAAGAGAAAGAACAAAGTTCTAGACCCATCAAAACAAAAAAATCACCACAAAATAACCATTCATATAGTCAAGTATTTATATAAATAAATAATGCCTCAGAGATAGCAGACAATCCTATGAAAAAACAGGATACGTTAACTCAAGTAAGCATAAAAGAAGGGGACAGAAAACTTTTCTGAGGAAGAAATGGTAACAGAACTACCTGATAAAGAATTCAATCAACTTATAAGAGGACTTCAAACAGTTCATGGAAAAACAGAATTAAAAGATAATGGAATTTTTCTGTGAACTTCTTGAAGCAGCCCCCCTATATATATATTTGTTTAGGAGCCTCAAAGAGATAAAGGAAAGCATTGGACTGCTTTCTCCTAGAAGAATTCCTGAAAACAATACAAGAATAAAATGACAAAATAGGTCATTAGAAACTATACAGCAAAGCAAAACAAAACCAGAAATCCAGAAGAGTAACAAAAAATATCTGAAACAGGTAATTCAATGCAAGGGTACCGAAGCAGAACTGAATCAATGGTACAAAGAATCAGCAAAATATGAGACTAAGCCAAAAAATATTGCTACTAGAGTTCAGGTTCATGCATACATTAGTAAATTCCAAGCAAACTGTGTTCAAACACGTCTCTGAGATCAGTGGATGGCTGCAGACACATTCTCCCAGTAATATACCTGACTTAATCTCATTAGGGTACCTCCAGACACCAGGTCAATCAAACAGTGACTTCTAAGAAGATTTTCAGGGCCAGTTATAATTCAAGGTAGAGAGGTCAGCCCAGAAGGTTATGGACACTGGGTTTTTTTGGGGGGGGTTTCAAAGAGGTACTTTTTGATTTTCTCAGTGGATACGGGAAAACCACAGGTGCTTATTAAGAAGAAATTTTAAGAAAATTGAAACTGTATTGGTGAATAAAAGGCCAGAAATGTTGTGCTGAGGAATTTTTTTTTTCTATCACAATGTTGTTGCTGTTGTTGTTAAGTGCCGTCGAGTCGGTGCCGACCCATAGCGACCCTGTACAGGGTTTCCGAGGCTGTAAATCTTTACGGGAGCAGAAAGCCTTATCCTTCTCCCGCAGAGCAGCTGGTAGTTTCAAACTGCTGACCTTAAGGTTCACAGCCCGATTCATAACCACTAAGCTACCAGAGCTCCTTTTCTATCACAATATATATGATAATTCTTTGAGGGTAGCAAGAGGTGTTCTATGAAAGCTTTGTTAGAAAATCTTACCCTATCTACCCTACAGCCTTGACCTTGTTCCTTCAGACTTTTTGTTCCCAAAACTCAAAGAACATGTGAAAGGAACATGATCTGAGTCCCTTGAGGTTGCCAAAACAACCATATTGATGTAGTGTAAATCAGAGTGTAAAATTCTACAAGGCAGGGTTAGAGACATGAAAAATGGCCTTCTGAAGTGTACTGACCTAAATGAGCAAAAGGACATGAACAGACATTTCACGACAGAAGACATTCAGGTGGCCAACAAACACATAAAAGATATGCTCACATGGAAAGATGGAGTGGCTAGGGACTCTAGACACAAGGAGGGAGATGGGCTGTGTGCTGGCGGCCAGGGGGTGGAGGGGTGGGAAAGGTATATGCCCCTTGGTTGTTTGAAAGGTTATATATTCCTGAGTGCTTTGGTGTACATCCAAAAAAAAAGGGAATGGAAGCAAATGCTGTTGAATGATGATGCATGGAAGGGATTGTAATCATTGCAATGAAATGAAACATGATAGGATGAATGTAAAGCTGATGTTCTCCCATGTAAACTATCACTCAATTCACAATAAAAACTAAAATAATAAAAAGATATGCTGACAGTCATTAGTCATTAACAAAAGGCCACTGCCATCAAATAAGCAAGTTGCTCGCCCAGGAGACAAAGCAAGTAGTCGGGTCCTCTCAGGGCAAACCCTCTTCTAAGACTGAGACTCAGTGGGAATACACGAGCAGACATGTGCTCTGATTGGTGACCATGTTCGTCACTGATAATGGGAAGTGAGGGAAAAATAGCAATTACGCTGCAAGCTAAGCCAAGCCCTACAAATGGTCAATAGACTCCTGTGAACTCGGGTGGAGACCTGGTTGGACAGCAATGTGGCAAGACCTGGGGACTATGGGCCCAGAGTCAGTGACAAAGCCACAGAGGACCAGAGTGGAGAGTGAAGTATCCAGCTGATAAGAAGAACACACACACTTACAGATAATACCCACTCGACCTGGCTTCAATGACTGGTTGATCGGAGCTCAAGTAGAAGAAGAAAGAATAGGAAAAAAAAGAGTAATCTGATACAGTTTGATGAACATGACCTACACCTATGGATGCAGTAGCTCAAAAGAGGGAACAAATCTTTACAGCGAGGATCATTCCTACCCCCTCCACACAGAGTAGAGAGGGATGGGCAACTTGGACATTGGCTACCCAAAATAGGGGGGAATAGGGGGGATACAAAGGTAAGAAGTGACTGGCTTACAAGCTTTCAAGAGGCCGCCTAGATCCAGAGGGCACGGAGGAAGGTTAAAATCTCCAGTAAGTAGTATACAAACTGTCTGGGCAGGTCTAATGAAAGGAGATGGGGATAGGTCCCTTGTGGTACAATGGTGAATAATTATTATCAGGACTGACTGCGAGGGTTGGAAATGTAAAAGTAGACATTTTATAGCAAAAGGAGGGGACTGGTTGACTTTGCAGTCCAGGAGTGGAGGTCCCTAGGACCATCAGGGAGAAGTGCGGAGAACGGGACCCTACCCAGAGAGGAAGTGATGCCAGAGATGGAGGCGGAGATGATGACATGGAGAGATGGAGCAGCTGGGGACTCTGGACCCAGAGAGGGAGAGGGGCTGTGTGCTGACGACCAGGGGGCAGGCTTGCAGGGTGTACCCTTTGGTTGGTTGATGATGCATGGAGGGGACTGTAACCATGGCAATGAGACGCTATATGATAGGATGAATGTGGGGCTGGTGTTCTCCCATGTAAACTATCACACAGTTCACAATAAAACATATTTAAAAAAAAAATTTTTTTTTTAAACCCTATACAGGGTCACTGTGAGTTTGAACCAACTTAATGGCACTTAACAACAACAGAAAACTTCGACAGTTATCTTGTTCTCAAACGACTTCCAGAGAACAGGATAATTTTCTTTGACCTTCTTGTTCAAATTCAGGAGCAGATATTTCAAATTTACTTTATGTCTGAGGTCTTAAAAGATCTAGTAGAACTGTCCTTGTTGTGTTGAATTACACGTAACCCCTCCTACAATGTTTCTGAAAATGACTTAGAAACTTGATAGTTGTGGCTGGGTACACACTCAACTATTAAAGTAAGTAATGATTTCTGAAGGATGCTCATTAAA